GTGTGTGTGTGTGTGTGTGTGTGTGTGTGTGTGTGTGTTATTTGTTTTTGTTAACAACGTGTTGAAGTCCTACCTGAGTCGTCAGCTCCATCCCTCCCCTGTTTGCGCAGCGGTCGGGATCAAATAAACAACAACATGAAATCAAGGTGCGTGTGTTTCCAGGTGCGTGTACTTCCGGGGGCGTAACGATCGGGGGTGGGCGTCACGATCACGTGCTGCAAGCTGCAGCTAGACCCTTCTCAAAAAAAAAAAAAAAAAAGGTGCTATACTTACTCGGTGTACTCCTTACCGTTCTACCGGCGCATGACCCGGACTATTACGTTGATTAGCTGCGAGGGAGGAGATTTGTCTTAAAATAAGCGAGAAGCATTTACCGCGATTTCTATAAATTATATAATAAAAGTATGTGAAGCATAAAAAGTGTCTCCCTACTCTAAATGAACGAAGTATCTGGTATGCCAATACACCGCTTGAATTTATATGTAAATTCCGTTTTTTTTTTAGTGCGCCGCTACGTGCACCGGTAGATAAATGGGGCAGATCTAGTTACTCGGTAGCTTCTCCTCATCCTGTAGCAACGTTAGCCCTGTCAGTAACCTGTGTAGTGGACCAGCCTTTTACACCCTGCTGGACGCACAGAGCAACTGGATAGTGCTACTTTTTTCCACAACGAAACAAGGCAACTCATGAGTTGAGAAATATTTATTGTGGCAAATCAGTGGAGAGGTACTGAGCTGCACTGGACAACAAGGACCTACCTGCTGCCCATTCTCTCGACTGACAGCTGTCAACTAGCTGACTAGCTTGGTGAGCTAAAGGCTAGCTGGAGATTCTTTTTTCCCTCCGGCTCACAGTCTGGATAAGTTTGTCAGCCGCTGTGTACCGCTTTAGAGGAACAGCTGCAATTTCTTAAAAGCGGATTCCCTTTTTTCAAATCATGAGTTAGCCAACTTAAGGAAGAGGAGATGCGGGTAGCAGTAGTTGTTCTGGAGGTCCGGATAATTTAGCTTGTTTTTAGCTTTCATTCAATGTTAAAAAAAGAAAGAAACTGAAGCCATACCACCGGTATCTCAGTTATTAAAGACTGAACATAACCAACAATAGCTTTTGTTTCGACACTGATACGTTTTGGACTTTGTCCGACTCTGGATATCAACTGGATATGAAGAAATTTTTTGACACTCGTCGGGAGTTTGCGGGCTCTGGGCCTGGTTCTGGAGCCGGTGGAGGAGGCGCAGGTTCCGGCGGCGGTGTCACTTTCATCGGTCGGGTCTTCAGCATCGGACGATATCAAGTGACTGTCGAGGAAATTATTGCTGAAGGTGAACTATGGCCTTATTTGTGGATTACACGCTTGTCACACTACTAATGTTGATTTACACGTGTCTTTGAAAGACTCCACAGGATTGGAAGGTAGATGGTTGGTTCTACTTCCGGTCCAAACAGAGTACACAGTAATGCCAAGCTTATGTTTTTTTTAAGAGGAAAAGCATTGATGGTCCAGGTTACAGGCTCAGGTGTCAGTGACCACCCACCTTTTCATGCTCTTTGTCTTGGTAACTTTTCTTCTGTGCAGTGGAGGCTGAAAACATATACCATATAGTTGGGTTGTTGAACAATAAATCAGGTGTTTAAACTGATGTTTCTATTTGTTCCTCCCAGTTATGAGGCGTGGGAGGAACATTGTTTAACTGGATTCTCCACTTCAAATCACATAATAGCCTTTGAGTCATCTTGGTAAATTACAGAGGGAGTTACACACCACATGTACATTTCAGATAGTCTAATGTTCAGATTTGGGATTTTTATTTTAAAAAAATGTGACATGTCAGATTAGGTACACAGACAGCAAACATTAATAGATCCGCAATCATTATGTTATACAACAAGCCTGTAGGTTAGTTCTAATCTGTAATTTTAATGGTAAGAAATGGGTTTAAGGAAACTAACTTATAAGGACATCTTGGCAGATTTTCTGTTCTAATTTATCATCACAGAGTCTCCAGTGAGAGTGACAGAATGAGAGTCTGTGAGCTAGGAGGGCGTGTTACTAAATAATTAATGAAAAAAGACTGACTAATTTATCAGTTTTATCCTGTAGGTGAGCCTTATCTGTTCGGACATGTTCTGACTTTATGAATGGCATGCCAAACTTTAGACATGCCCTGTACTTTTACAGAAACATGTGTTTCTATGAATGCAAATGTTTACTGGAAATAGGCTTTAAATCTGATAATAGTCATATTTATACATATAAATGTCATATGTCTCTAGTGGTTGGATCAGTTTAAGGCCTAGCATCTTTTTTGACTGAATGTCTATCCTCTGCCACTTTTCATTTCAAAGTTTTAGACTAAAAATCATTTAATGTTGAGAAATCAGAATTTAGCAGATTTGGTCAAACCATAAAACTATCATGTGATGTCCTGAGATAACATGAGCTTGTGGTGAATGACTCTCAGCTACTGCCACATCTAATTTCAGCTCAATATCTAAAATTAACTGATTTATTTCGGTGTTTGGTGGCTAATATTGATTTAGCTGTGGTGACTGTTTTGAAATAGGTTATCTCCAAAGTTTAATCAGTAGTAAATATCCTTCCAAAGAGTACTTTGTGAATGTTTCATTCAAATCTAATTTATTGATATTTTTGCTAAAAAGTTTACAGGATTGATTCCAAAAGTTGTTTATAAAGTTTTAAGCAAAAATGGCATTAATGATTGTGCCGAGTCTCAACCAATGACTCCAAACTACCACCACCTCATTTTACCACAATTTCTGCACAATAGTTGCTGAACTGACTGAATCATTAACCCTTTTTTTGTTTTCTAAGGTCAGTTGCCTCTGGTGCCATCTTGGATTTTGTTGGCATCAGAAAATAAATTGTAGATGTACATACAGTATAATGACTATATTTTCTTCAAGTTTCATTAGTATCAGTCTCCTAGCTCAGGAGATATTTTGCTAACACAGACAGTTGATTCTTAATAGGTAACGTCAACATTTTAAACATATGTTGCAGCTTGAAGACATCAGTCGACGAATGGAGTAGTTTTTATCCAAACATTTATTTTCTTTTAGCTCCACACAGAATATAA